ACTCCTGTTCTACTTTAGGCAAATATGGATTTTAAGGTCTGTGCTTTCTTCTTCCACCAGCCTCCACTTGAATGGAACTTGTAACCTAGGTATGACAAAGAATAAGAAGGCTCAAATGTCCCTAACCAGTTTAGTCACAGGGTACAGGTTCCGTACTGGGAAGAGCAAACCAAGAAGGCTAGGGCCTACTGCTCTGTCAGAGATAACTTGCAGAACAGGGGTACGAGAGAAAGCAACTGCTGTGTCCACTCTGCGTTTCTACTGAGTTTCTGTCTCCCTCTCCCCAGAGGCATAAGAAAAGAGGATCATGTTGTTGTTTTTAGGTGGTGTTGAGCCAACTACGACTCAGAGCAACTTCACAAGCAGCAGATCTGAGTCCTGCCCTATCCTGTGCCAGCCTCCTCATCTCTGCCATACTTGAGCCCACTGTTGGTCCATCTTGTTGAGGGTGTTTCCTCCTTCCCTGACCTTCCACCTTTCCAAGCAGGATGTCACTTTCCAAGGACTGACCCCTCTTAACAACATGCTCAAAATATGTGAGATGAAGTTTCACTATCCTTGTGTCTTAGAAGCATCCTAGTTGTAACTTCTCCAAGACATAATTGTTCTCCCTAAAGGCATTGACTTTATTTGAAAGAGAACATCAGGAAGTTCAAGTTTAAGTGCAACAGCAAAAAACAGTGGAGACCCCAATGAGCAATTAAGGGGAAGTCAAAAGCTCCACAAAGTAACAAGAAAATCAGGAAACCACTTAAAAGTTTAATAGAGAAAAGCAGGAAAAGGGAAAACAAACCAAAAAAAGACTTCATGGGTTTGGAGCAAATGTCAAAGATTGGTTTCAAGGAACATTCCTTTAATGCAACCCAGCTTTAATTGAGTCAGATGGTGGAGTAATGTATGTCCTAGGATGTTATAAAAAAACAATAATGGGAAACTGAGGAGGACCTGAAGCGCTTGCTACAGAGTGTCAAGGACTGCAGCCTTCAATAGGGATTGAGGCTCAGTGTCAAGAAGACAAAGATTCTCACCACTGAACCAATTGGCACCATCAGGATGGATGGTGAAGAGATTGAGATTGTTCACAGCTTTGCTGTTAGGGAGCAATGGTGACTTTCTGGAGACTAAGACCAAGGAATCCCATCCGGGAAACCCCTTAAAGCTTCTGTAGCTTAAAAAAAAACCCAAACAACAAAACTAAACCAAACAATAATAATACTAACAATTAGTGCATTCTCTACTGGCGAAGTGGTTAAGCCGTTTTCTATTAATTGAAAAGTAGGCTGTTCGAATCTAATGGTTTCTTCAATGAAATAGGTAGGAGTGTTTCTGTAAAGATTACAGCCATGAAAGACTATGGCACTAGAAATCTGAGGCAATTCCACTCTGTCTTATACAGTCACTGTGAGTTGGAATTTGACTCAACATCATTTTGGTGTGATACCAGTAAAAGCAGACCAGCCAGAAGTTTAACAAGGCAATTAGGAGAAAACTGAAGAAAATCCAGCTGTGACAGTCATACTTTTTAGGGCAGGAAAGGTTTAGAGACTGCACACTGTAGCAAAATAGACACCACTAAACCAGACAAATTGTTGGACAAATAAACAGTAAGTTCTCTCCACAAGTGGGAGATCAATATACATATCTGCTATAATAGAACACTAAAGGATTCAGTATTCTATGCTGCATTAAAAAAACAAGGAACTCATGCAATATTATTCAAAATGGTTGACTCTGGAGAACATTATGCTGAGTGAAATATCCCAGTCACAAAAGGACAAATATTACATGATGCCACTGTTGGGGAGAGACTGAGTAAGATGGGTTCAATAATGTATACTGCACTGAAACAGAGGAGGGAGAAAACTGTTTAAAAGAGATATATAACTAGGTATTTCTGTCATCACAGGAGACTAGAGCGAGGGCTACATGGTGGAGGGGACCTGGGGGAGGGTTTGTAAAACAATGAAAGAATCTTTTCTTTTACTTTTCCATAATTTTTGGACTCATGTACTTATAACTTGTTAGTCAAATTTGTGCCTTCTAGGTTGCAACACCCCCATGATACATCTTCAAGGATATGAACATGTACGGCCAAGCACAATCAATAAGAGTGCATCTAAATTCCAAAATCAATCTCCATAATAGTCTATGTGTTTCCTACTGCCAAAGGGGCCCTTTAGAGTAGTGAGAGAAGATCTTCACCCTGAAACCCACAGCGTCCCTTTTCAGCAGGAAGTAGCTAAGAGAATATGCCATCCCCTTTTCCTTATGACTCAGGGTGAAGTCTCTCTCAGGGAGGAGTGATAGGGAATGGCAAAGGATACACTGACAAAGAAGATTAATCAGAACTGGCTTTGACAAGCACTGTGGCATTTGGACAAGAACAAACTGGGAGGAGGGTAGAGAGAATAGTGCAACAAGGAATGAATGGAAACCCAAAATCTCTGTAAATGTTTATGAAAATTAATAAAATAAGTAACATAGAGAAAAAAAAAGGATTCAGTATTCAACAACAACAGAAATCAGAAGACATGCAAATGAGCAGGAAACTGTGACCAATACAAAGAAAGAAAGGAGGGGAGAAAACAAAAGTCACTTTTAGGGGTAGAAACATTAGATTTATCAAAGAAGTATTTTTAAAAAAATAAAAGTCACCTTTAGTGGTAGAAACATTAGATTTATCAAAGAAATATCTTTAAAAGAGGTAGTATGTATGTGTGTGCATGTGTATCTATAAATATATACATATATATATTTTATATGTATAATATAGTTGGAGACAGCACAAAGGAGATCCCACTGGAGCAAAACTACACTGATGTAAAGAAGTGACATCACATAACTCCTCAAATTCCCAGAAAGAAATTAAGGGAATCAGAAATGATAAGAAGTTTATTTTAATATAACAAATTCTATATAAATATAATTTCTGTCCTTTCATCTTTGTACTCTGTACTCTCAAAGATATAAAAGTATAAAAAGTAATAATTATAACATGTATTATTAAGATTTTAACATATTAAAGATATATGTATAATAACAACATAAGATTCTGAAATCAATAACAAAAGAAAACTTTAGAAATTCACTAATATCTGAAAATTAAATGACACATTCCTAAGTAACCCAAAGAATAAATCTCAAGGAAAATTAGAAAATATATTGAAGTGAATGAAAATAAAACCAGAATATACCAGAATTTATAGGCTGTTGTTACAGCAATGTTTAGAAAGACATTAAGGATATAAACACTTTCATTTAAGAAGAGAGAAAACTATCTCTAATGCTTAGCCTAACCATCCAACTCATGAAACTAGAAAAAGGCTTACTCCAGACTAACACGGAAAAGGCTTGACTAATAGAAAAAAGAATCAAAGTTCTAAAATCAGGGATTAAAGAAGGGTACATAACTATCAACTTTCCAAAAATAAAGAGGATTAGAAAGGCATCCTAGGTGAGCTCTGGTGGCCTAGTGGTAGGAAACTGCCTTAACAATCTCAGAGGTGTGCGGTTCAAATCCACCAGATGCTCTGCTGAAGGAGGAAAAATCGCCTCCTGTACCAGACAGATCCAATTTGACGGTACACACATAAAAAGAATGAATGAATGAATAAATAAATAACTAAATAAATTATTTTTTTTAAAAAAAGGCATCCTAGAAACAAGTCCCTGCTGTAGACTTGCCTCTCTCTCTTGGCAAGTCTCCTATTAGTTTCCAAGGCTGTCGATCCTTCCCCCTTGGTGGATTACCACTATTGAACAACATACTACACTACCCAAGTCCTTATACATTGTCTAAATCAGATAACTTAGATGAAAAAGACAAGTTTCTGGAAAGACAAACACAAAACTGACTCAAGAAGGAAAAAGAAAATTTGGGTAGACCCACAAAAAAAATTAAGATATTTAATTAGTAATAACAAAATTTATCACAAATACCAGCAAATTCTACCAAACACTTTTTTTTTTACCAAACACAGAGTATCAATAATACCTCATAAACTCTTTAGAAATACAAAAGAGAAAGGAATATTTCCTATATGATTTTGTGAAGTCAGTATTATTCTAATACTAAAACCAGGCAAAAATAGACATCTGCAGACCTCTTATAAGTACAGACACAATTCTCAACTAAATACTCGCATGCGAAGTGCAGCAACGTATAAAAGCATTACACATTATGAGCAACTAGTTCTAATCTGAAAAATGCAAAGGTGATCCAATAAATGACTATCAGCAAAAACTATATAACTCAGCAAACACAGAAGAGTATTTCACAAAATTCTACATCCTTTCTTGATAAAAATGTTCAACAATCTTGGAATAGAAGGGAACATAGTTGACGTAAAGAAATAGCATCTACAGAAAACCCATGGCTAACATCATAGTCCATCGAGAAAGACAGAATGCTTTCCTCCTAAGATCACGAACAAGGACATCCATTCTCACCACTTCTGTTCACTGCTCCGCTGGCATTCCAACCAGGGCAATTAAGCAAGGACAAGATATTTTAAAGCAACCAGATTGGAAAAGAAGTAAAACTATCTCTACTTGCAAAGGATATAATCTCGTAAAAGAAAACCCTAAGGCATGAACTTAAAAAGCTATTAGAATAAAGAAGCTCAGCAGATAGCACATACAAGAAGTATATTCATAATCCAGCTACATTTCAACAAAGTACCAATGAACAGTCCACAACCAAATTAAGAAAACAACTCCACTTTCAATAGTGTCAAAAATTATAAAATATTTTAGAATAAATTCAAAAGAAGTGTGAAGCTTGTACTCTGAAAACTACACATACACAGAGGAAAAGGCACAGGCTTCTAGAACTGTGGCATGCTAGAACTGGGCAGGTGTGAGCTATCAGTCAGTACACAGTCAGGCTTCCAAGCCAAGCATGCATGGTCCCAGGCAGGCACAACAGGGTGACAGAGAGGGAGAGGCAGATGGTGGAATAAACATGTTCTGAGTGGCAGGTTCATGCAGTGCATACATACCCAGATAGGAACGCCTGAGGGGAACTCGGATTTCTTCATCCTTACTATCTGCAAGTACATTTAATAAGAGAGAAACAGGAAGAAAAGACAAGACAAAACAGACTGGTTTTAACACTGATAAGCAGATGTGTTTCTCAGATGCTTAGAATTTCTTAAAAAATTAAAATTTAAAAACCCTTGGAACAGAAAGACCACAGGTTTTGGGTTCTGTGGGAAATTCACTTTGTGAACCACCTTCTCCCAATGTTATAAGAGGAGAAGAGGAAATGCTGGGCCCAAAGCAAAAGATTACTCTATTTTCATTTCATTTCTAAAGACACAAGAGGCCAAAAGGTCACTGCTCTGATAAAGGGATAGCACAGGTCCCGTGTCCCATGTCCACTTGCTCTAGAACTCACTGTACATTTCCCATTTTACTCGTTTTACTCCCTAGACATGTTACCTATCTCCATTTCCCAGAGTTAAGCAGGACCTTCTCAGAAGACTGTTCCTCAAGCTGTTTTCAGAGGGAATGTCAACATAAAAGGGGTGCGAGCTTATGGGACCCTCAATGCAAGTGCTTCTTGGTGATTGACATTCACCTCGAGCTCTACTCACCAGGCCAGTGGCTCTTCGAATATGCCAGACACAGACTTGGACCACCAGGAGTTCCCCACTGGTGACCCAGTACCTCACTGCCAGGCTGCTGACCAAAGGCCCAAGATGTGAGTGCTTAGGGCAGACGGTGACTCAGGAAAGTAAGACTCAAAGCATGGGGTTTCAAATACAGGTGTGGGTCAAAGGCTGGGTTCAACTGCCCCAAGCAATGTGTGGAAACCCTGCAAGCAAAAGCTAAAAGCAAACACTGCACACAGTTCTGGATGCTACCAGGAAGAGGTGCCACATTTCCAGGGAAGCAAGAAGCTTCATGAGCTGACAGGAAAGAACACACAGACCTCACCACCTCCTGGTTGGACTCTGGCACTCTCTGCTTTACTTGTCTCTGAGCAATCATCCATCCAGGTCACTCTCCTGACTGTGGCTGGGCCTATGCAGGTACAACTTCCACAACTGGTCTCCATGTTGTGAGGAAGCTCAGACCACAGAGAGCAGCCTTCCATAAATACTCCACCAGCAACAGCAAGAGTCCAAGATCCCAGGGACAGCAAATGTCTGTGTGAGCAAACAGTGAGGTCGTGGCCCCAGGCTCAGCACTGACTAGCTGACACCGGGTGGAACAGAAACGACTGGTCTGCCACATGCTGCCCAAACTGCGAACAAAATAAACATTCTTCTGAGTAACTTGGTGCAGGCGCAGGTTTTCAAGTAGCTGTTGGGACCAGAACAAAAGATGATTTGGCAGAAAGGTCACCTGAACACACACACAAATGAGAGTCAGACGTCCTGAATGGTCAGAACCAAGACAGAAGCGAGCCGGACAAGGTTTTCAGATGACAGACAGGCAGACTCCATCTGCTTCTTAAGGGCCCTGGCCAAATGCTGAGATTCACCATGTAGGTAGGACAGAAGGACACATTAAGGGCATCCTGGGTTGAAGACAGCCTGGCTGGCAGAGGGGGTAGAGTATCACAGGATGCAAGAGAAGCTGCAAAGCAGCAACCAGCAAAGAGAATGAGCGGAATGCTGAGATCTGGGCAGGAGGCAGGACACTGGACCATCTATGGAGCCCAGTGTCCAAGGGCTAATTCACCCCTAGAAAACGGGATAAAAATGGCTGTGTAAATGCCCTTCAAGGATGGAGCCTTGGCTTTCATTCCCAAAAGACATGTAATCTTTAGTCAACTCTTAAATCTGGAACAAAACTTTCCCATGATTCAACTGTCAGCCCACAGGAGAGAAGCTATAAGGTGATCCGTAACAGGGAGCCGCATCCCCGTGTAATAACCAAACACTATAGGCCAAAGGGCACCATCTGCCCAAGAATAAAGCCCAGAAGGCAGAATGAGAGGACAGAGGACTGAGAAATGAAACAATGAATGAATGAGAACCCAAAATCTCTGTAAATCTTCATTAAAACTAATAAAATTTAATAATAATAAAAAAGGGATTGAGAAATGAAAATTAGGAGAGGAAGTAGAAGGAGTGCTGTTACCTTGTAAATACTGTAACAGATGTAAAACAAATGTGTATGAATGGTTGGATGGAAGACCAATCTGCTTTACAAACTGTCATTCAAATCACAATTTTTTCCGTTTACTGCCAGACTTATTTTTTTAATTGCGATTTGAGTCAATGTTTACAGAACACATTTGGGGGGGGTGCTTTTCCCCATCAATCATTCAGGTGTGTTCCATGATACCAATTATACTACACACGTCTTATTGTCCTTCATTCCAGGTCGTCCTCCCCCTCCCACCATCCCAGAAAGTGCTCATTGTCTATCAGGACATTTTCTGTTCTCACTCCCCTTCCCTGGTAACCACAGTAGATTAATTATCTCTAAGTATAGCCTTTTACAAGTGTTCTTATACAGTATTCATCCTTTTATGACTGACTTATTTCACTCAAATTCTTCACTGTTTTTCAAGTTGCATAGTACTCCACTGTGCAAATGTCTATTCATTCTTTCACTGAGGAGCATTCAAGGTGTTTCCATCTCTTTGCTATTGTGAATAATGCTGCAATAAACAGGATTGTGCATATATCTATTCATACTACACCTCTTATTTTCTTTAGAGTATATTCCTTATAGCAAAATAACTGGATCAAAATGGTACTTCTACCTTCGATTTTTTAAGGAAACACCAAACTGGCTAAATTTTGTTAGCCATTGCTGTTAAGACGAGATGACATCTCATTGTTTGGATTTGTATCTCCCCAAATGCTAATGTTCTGAGCATTTCTTCATGTGTTTGCTTGCCATCTGAATCTTTTTGTTAAAGAGTTTTCACACCTTCTGCCCATTTTATAGGTTCCTCATGAGCACAACGAAGTGCTCTGGGATTCCCATTCTTCTCAATGTCAGCCACAACTTGTCATGATCCACATAGTCAGATGCCTTTGCACAGTCAATAAAGCACAAACAGGCATTCTTTTGGTATTCCTTACTTTCAGCCAGGATCCATCTGACATCAGCAATGATAACCCTAGTCCCATGGACTCTTCTAAATTGCATTTGAACTTCTGGCAATTCCCTATCTATGTACTGTTTCAGCTGTTTTAGAATGATCTTCAGCAGTATTTTCCTAGTATGTCATATAAATGATACTGTTCTATAATTTCCACATTCTGTTGGATCACCCTTCTTGGGAATAGGAACAAATAATATAGACCTCTTCCAATCTGTTGACCAGACAGCTGTCCTCCAAATTTCCTGGCATAGACCAGTGAGTGCATCCAAGGCTGGAGGTGTTAACTGAAACAAGTCAATTGGTATCCCATCAATTTCTGGGGCCTTTTTTTTGCCAATGCCACCAATGTAGCTTCCACTTCTTTCATTACCTTTGGCTCCTGCTCATACAGTACTTCCAGAAATTTTTCAGTGTCAATCAATTCTTTCTGGTACAGTTACTCTGTGTATTCCCTCCATCTTCTTTTGATGCTTTCTAGGTCATTCAATACATTGCGCATAGCATCTTCCAACTTGTGATACAAGGCCTAAATTTGTTTTTCCATTCTTTCAGCTTGAGAAATGCAGAGAGAGGAGGCTGTTGTGTGAACAGAGCAGGGGAGCACTACACGGTTTGGAATTAGGAACGGAGTGCATCAGGGATGAATCCTTTCTCCATATATGTTCAATCTATATGCTGAGCAAATTATCCAAGAAGCTGAGCAAATTATCCGAGAAGCTGAACTCTATGAAGAGGAGTGTGGCACGAGGATTGGAAAGAGACTCAACAATAACCTGAGTTATGCAGATGACACAACCTTGCTTGCTGAAAGTGAACAGGATTTGAGACACTTGTTACAGAAGATCAAGGAATGCAGCCTTCAGTATGGATTGTGTCTCAATATCAAGAAAATAGAGATTCTGGGGAGCTCTGGTGGCCTAGTGGCAAGGAACTGCAACTACAATCCCAGAGGCGCACGGTTCGAATCCACCAGATGCTCTGCCGGGGAAGGAGGGACAATCTCCTCCTGTACCAGTCAGATCTGATTTGACGGTACACACACACAAAAATAAAAATAAATTTAAAAAAAAATAGAGATTCTTACCACAGGACCAATAGGCCATATCACAATGGATGGAGAGGAAATTAAAACTGTCAACAGCTTCATCTTGCTTGGATCCACAGTTAACATCTTTGGTACAAGCAGTAAGGAAATAAGGAGATGTATTGCATGGGGAAAATCTGCAGTTAGGGATCCTTCCAAGTTATTGAGGAGTAGTGATGTCAGTTTGAGGACTAAGGTGCATCTGATTCACAGTCTTTCCATTTACTCACTATGCATCTGAGACCTGGACAATGAATAAGGATAACAGAAAAGAATTGATGCCTTTGAGCTGTGGTGTCAGAGAAGAGCACTGAACATTACACAGACAGCCAAGAGAATGAAGAGATGTGTCTTAGGGAGGCTGCTGCCAGAGTTCTCTTTGGAGGCAAGAATGATGAGGCTTTGCCTAACATACTTTGGACATATAGCTAGGAGGTGCTATTCCTTGGAGAAGACTATGATGTTGGGAAGGGTGGAGGTTTGGTGAAGGAGAGGAAGACACTCAACCAGGTGGATTGACAAGGTGACTGCTGCAATACGCTCTTGTGTGTCAGGAAGTGTGAGGATGGTGCAGGACAGGACAGGTTTCAGATCTTTTGCTCATAGATAGGGTTGCTATGAGCCGTACTAGACTCAAAGGCACTTAACAACAACAGCCCATTTTATAACTGGGTTGTCTGCAGCCATAGAAAACAAAATCATGTTGGCCCAGCAACAGACTCATAGACTAACGAAATACAAGAATCAAGAATCCAGAAATCAAACTCTTCACCATGGTCAGTTGATCTTTGATAAGATGAAACCCATTAAAAGGGGAAAAACAGGAACCAATTTAGGAGCCCTAATCTATAGCATAAATAGACTATCAAATATAGCCAAAAATGTACAACTAGCAGAGGATTAAATGAATGGATGGAATTAATTAATTAATTAATTAATTAAATCCTTATGTACGTCAAGAAATTTCTCCAAGAGTAAAAAGAGGGCCTACGATAAAAATAATAAATTATATATATAAAATTTATGGAAAACTCAAAAAAATATTTTTAAAAAGACTACTCATAAAAAAGAATCTCTTTATATCTTTACTGAAATATGATCTATACACACAAAAATCCACCTTTTAGTGGGCTATAGCAAATTTACAATGCCTCCAAATTATATACTCAACAATTAAGATAGCAAGTTTTATGCCATATATTCACATAACAAAATGAAAATTAAGAAAAACTTGGTAAATAAACACCAAATTTCTAGCAGATCTAGAGAAGAGATTGGAAGAGGAGTTTCCTTCTGTATTATTTGGTGTTCAAATAAAACAGGTGCTTTACAAGGTGTGAGTGTGTGTGCAGGTGTTTGGTAAAGTCCCACAGGGTGGGAAGGGTCTGAGTGAAGAACACAATAATGCCAGCATGCCTGCGCGTGTGTGTGTGTGTGTGTGTGTGTGTGTGTGTGTGTGTGTGTCGCGCACGCATGCTCACCAGCTGGGCTCAGCACTGGCTCATGGGACCCGAGAGCTGCTGTGAAGGACAAGAAGATGCAGATGCACTTGTTTCACCTCTCCAAGGCTGTCACACCTCAGCTACCTCCAAAGAGTTATAGTAATACCAAATTAAACATCTCTCCTAGTTAAGCCCTGAGTGGGGCACACATGAAAGAAGTAGGTTATTTGAAAACAAGGCCCAGCCAGTAAGAGTTTAGCTATGTCTCACTGGTACAAATGAATTGGACAGTTCCATCCGGAACTGTGCCTGAGCTCTAGACAAATGGGGACAAATCAACTGTAGAAACAGCCTATTCGGTTTCCTCCAACCATGTGTTGAAGAAAGGGAAAACATATTCTGGAAACAAAGTCTAATTTTTAAAAAGAAAAATATCTTAAAATGAAACAGATTTTAAGCCTGAAATGCTTGGCTTCAGCCCCCAACCCCCATGAGGCAGAGGGAGAAAACAAACCCCACATTTTATCAAGGGTTTCTCAGAAAAACATGGGATAGTCAATGGCCAACTTGGCTCTGTCTCTGGGGAATTCTCAAGACACATACATTAAAGAACAATATTAGTATCACATGCAAATTAAATGCTATTAAAGATCATTTAAAAATGGCTAGAATAGTACATTGAAAGAGAACTTCCAGAAGTTCAAGTTGGGTTTAGAAGGGATACCATTGATGTCATATGGATCCTGGCTGTAAGCAAGGAATACCAGAAGAATGTCTAATTTGTGCTTTATTGAGTATGCAAAGAAATTGACTGTGTGGGTCATAACTAATTATGGCTAACACTGAGGAGAATGGAAATCCTAGAACACTTACTTGTGCTCATGTGAAATCTAAACCTAGACGAAGAAGCTGCTATATGAACAGAGTAAGGGAATATCGTATGGCTTAAAATCAAGAAAGATCTGCATTGGGGCTGTATCCTTACTCCGTAACTATTCAATCTGTACACTGAGCTAAGCATTCAAGAGGCTGGACTTCACAAAATAAAAAGAGAAGTGAGCAGAAAGAAAGAGGGCCTTCAGTACCACTGAGAAAGAAGAGTACAGGAGGGTGTCGTGTACATTAGCCCCAGTGTCCTTCACTGAGCAGCTCCTAGACTTGGGTGAAGAGATGCCCAGACACAGGGAGCTAGGTCTCCAAGGGACACTAAGGCCACAGATGTTGAAAGGAGATACAGGCCTTCTCCCAGAGCTGAGAGAGAGAGAAACCCTTCCACTAGAGCCAGCACACTGAAACTGGACCCCTCATACCCTAAACTGTGAGAGGCTATACTTCCTCTTATGGTATCTCTGTTAGAGCAGCACTAGACAGCTGAGACATTCATCTCTGATGAGCAACAACCGGAAAGAAGGTATTTCTAAGTGTGCACCATATACTCATGACCCTCACCCTCACCAAGTCAATCTGAGGAGCTCCTTGGCATAGTGTAGATAATGGAGGTGATAGATTTGGGTTCCTGAGGGGATTCCTGCATTTCAATAACTGTACTTATGATTGAAAGTCGAGATGTCTCCACAGGCTCACCAGTGTGCTGCATCTTAGCTCAGCCTACTTACTCTTTCAAAGTTGGTCACAAAAACTGACAACATGTCCAGATGCTGAAGATAAATGACCTGCTCTCAGGGCACCAAGTTTCCAATTAGCTCTTCATCCTTTATTCAAAGCCATGAGAATTCGAAAGGGCAGCTTCATCCAATCTAAAAGTTAAGAGTTTAAATAAAGTGGGATTTGGGGATGAAGAATGCACACTTCACAGGAATGCAATGTGGGTGTGAGGAGCACACAAATTTCACTGGGATGGGCAGAAACCATGTTGTTAAGTAGAAACACAGGGGAATACGTATTTAAGCTACAGCATCCTGACAGGTTTGAAATGTCAGCTTCCCAGAGGAGGCAAAGAGTAGGACAAGAACCATATTTAGTGTTATGTCTAACTCAAATCTCTGTAGGAGCCATAAAGGACAACAAAGAAGGGAAAAGAAACAGAAAAACAAACAAACAAAAAATACCAACCCCCAAATAAAACAGAGGAGACAGAACAAAAATACCATAAAACATGTTAGTGGTAATCTTCACAGCTTTACATTACACAAAAAGTCCTTCATTGGTTCAGGATGCCCAAGTAGTTGGCTTCCTTCCTACCAGGGCTGAAATGGCAAAGGGGAAAGGTTCTCAGAGGGAGAGAAGATTATGAATAAAAGAAGATTAGGAACAAAACAGGGACATCATCTGTCAGGCAAGACTTAAAACATCCACAGGGGCCCAAAACAAAACAAACTCCGGGGAAAACACTTCTCAGCATGACCACTGTGGTTAATACACATTCACAATCTCAAGCAAAATAAAAATGAGAGCTGGCTTAGGGTTGGTCACCAGAAGGGAAGCAGAGCATAGACGTCTTGCACAAAAGCAACCGCTGGCCTGCTGGTCAGCCACAGACTGCTGAGGCAAAAGGGGGCATGGCTAGAAGTCAGAGTGGTTGGTCAAAGTGTGGCCAGTTCTTACTTAGAGTGGGTGGGTGAAGTGTGGCAGCAGAGAAGGGACATGTTCTACGAAATCTCCCTCCCCAAAAAGCCTAACTTCAGATGTATTCTTACTGTACTGTGAAAAAGATGCAATTTTGTTCAGTCTTGGTGGAAAAGTACAACTTAGAGGATGCATTTTATATAGAAGTCATACACTGGCTTCTTTCCCCAACCTGATCAAGCCAAAACACATGGGGGCTAACAAAAGAAAAATTGGATGTATACATAATATATAGTGCGAGGGGGAAAGTTGAGAATAAAGCTAAAAGACCTAAAAAAAAAACCAAAACAAACAAAAAAAACACATGGGGGGCGAGGGCATACTTCCAACCTTAATCAATAGTTTGCATGCAACAGTAATTATTAGCAAAGAATAATGCATTGCTGTTGTTATGTGCCGTCGAGTCGTTTGTGACTCATAGCGACCCTATGTATAACAGCCCTAAACCCTGCTATATCCTGTGCCAATCTCACTGCCTCTGACACACCCATCCCGATTACCCCAGTCACCGAATCAATGCACCTCATAGAGGGCCTTCCCTTCCCCTTCTGTGCCATCCCACCACCCTCCCAAGCATGATGTCCCTCTCCAAGGACCTCTCCCTCCTTACAACATGTCCAAAGTATGTCAGACAAAGCCTCAGAATCCTTGCCTCCAAGGAGCAGCTCGGTTTAACCCTCTCCAGGATGAATCTGTTCAAGCTCAAAGGCATCAATTCTCCTTCTATCCTCCATAGTCACTGTCCAACTCTGATGCATAACAAGTGATTGCAAAGACCATAGCCTGTATCAGATGCACCTAAGTCTCCAGAGTGACACCACTGCTCTTCAGTACCTTGGAGAGGTCCCTAACGGCAGACTTTCTTTCCCATGGCAATGCGCCTTTTAATTTCCTGGCTGCTGGTGCCAAGAGTGTTGATGGTGGAGCCAAGCAGACTAAAGTTGTTAACAATCTCAATCTCTTCACCATCCATCCTGATGTTGCCAATTGGTCCAGTGGTGAGAAACTTTGTCTTGACATTGAGCCTCAATCCATATTGAAGGCTGTATAGTCTTTGCAGCAAGCATTTCAGGTCCTCCTCAATTTCAGCAAGCAGGGCTGTGTCATCCGCCTAACACAGATTGTTAATAGATCTTCCACCAATCCTGACCCCACACTTCTCCTCATAGAGCCCAGCCTCTCGGATAATGTGTTCTGCATACAGGTTGAAAAGATATGGAGACAGGACACATCCCTGGCATACGCCTTTCCCAATTTTGAACCGTACAGTGTTTCCTTGCTCTGTTCTGACGACTGCCTCTTGGTCCAAGTATAAGTTTCGCATTAGAACGATCAAGTGTTCTGCGATTCCCATTCTTCTCAGAGTCAGCCACTGTTTGTTATGATCCACACAGTCAAACGCCTTTGCATAATCAATGAAACACAGATAGATAGACATTCCTCTGGTATTCCCTGCTTTCAGCTAAGATCCGTGTAACATCAGCTACAATATTCCTAGTACCACGACCCCTTCTAAACCCAACCTGGACTTCTGGCAATGTGCTGTTCCAGTCGTTTTTGGATAATCTTCAGTAGATTCTTGCTTGCGTGTGAAATGAATATTGTTCTATACTTTCCACACTCTGTTGGGTCACCCTTCTTTGGAACGGGAACAAATATAGATCTCTTCCAGTCAGTTGGCCAAGTGGTTATTCTCCAGATTTCTTGGAACAACCTGGTGAGCACATCCAGGGCAGCATCTGTTAGCTGCAGTATGTCAATTGGTATACCATCTATTCCTGGGGCCTTATTTTTTGCTATTTCCTTCAAAGCAGCTTGAACTTCTAATTACTAATCTAAATTCAGTAATGAAAGTAGACTATCTTGGATGGTATACTTGGATTCTTTTACACTATGAAACTTGTAGTTAAGTCATTTGATCTACTGAAAATTTTACTATCAGTTGGAGCTAACAGTGCCATCAGGTGAAATGAAAGCTATGGGAAAACAGCATTAGAGCAGCCTGCGAGGTGCAGCAGGCATGGTCAGGCCTCTGCACATCACCTTTCACCAACCTGCAAAAGAGCGGCGCTTGAGATTCAGCTCACTGTTGACGTGAACTTCAGTGCAGAGTCTCAGCATCAGCAGCATGGTCAAGATCATGATTATGCTCTGCCACAGAAGAGGAGATTCAAAGTGCCTTCCAAACCTGGGGAGGTAAGAGACAGCACATCAGAGCACAGCTCACCATCTATTCCAGAAAGCGCACGGTACTTGTTAGCCAGAGGTCATTAGAGGCTACTTCCATGGGTTGGGGTGGGAAATGAGGTTGCTGAGGGAACAGGAAGAGGCTGGGTGGCCCCCACAGGAACATCAGGACAAAGGGCCACAAGAATCAAACGGGACTGTGAACTTCCTCACTTCTGGCCATGGGTTGACCATGTGCCATTTGGGTCCCTTTGTACATTCATTTTCCATAGAAGTGATGAATACTAGAATAACTAGGGGATATATCACAATTGGAGCTTCCTGTCACCACAGGAATAACCACAGAATAACAAGTTTATAGTGAAGTGTGGGCATTTGGAATAAGGGGCATGGAAGGCACAGATGAATGGTTAACTGACTTCAGGACAAGGACAGGCAAGTTGAATATTGCAAAGGGCATGGGTTTCCACAGAAGGTACACAATTAACAAAACAAAATTGAAAACAAAGTCTACTGTCATGAGAGCCCTTAAAAATATAATTAGCACAGAATGACAGAGTTTGGATTTCTTTCTTTAAATGACCCCAGTCTAGGAGCCTCATCCTTACACCAGACAGCGGCCCTTTCAGAGCTATTCCTCCTCTACCACCTCCGTAAGGGCTGGGTGTACTGTTCAACCAGATCCCATGGCTCCTAAACCACTAGAGAAGTGTGTATCTACTGCCAGTAACACTGACATTCCAACACTCACTGTTTTCCACCTGAGTAGCAAAATGTTACTTATCCCAGCTACTTTGTTTTTATTTTTTAAATTTGTGAGGACTTCCTAACAGATGCCAGGCAACCTCACACCTCAAGTACTATATTAGAATGTGGAGTGTGACTGGCCATGCCTGTGGATAAGACTCCAGTGGTGGAAAGGAGTTAGGAGCCCAGCAGCTCACTGACCCCTTCCCAACCTCCCCACCCACCTCTTTTATTTAATCAGAAGTCTGTGCATGGTCAACTAAACTCATTGTTGCTGAATGAGAACCGACTCACAGCTGATTCTTCACTGGATTTCCAAGGTTGTAAACTTCATGGAAGGAGACTGCTCATCTTTCTCCCATGGAGTTCAAACTACCACAGAGCTAGCCTTTGGACTAGCAGAACAACCCCTGGTGGACTATGTCATCAGAGCTCCCAGGAATTGGTGAACCCACCTCCAGATTTCTGACACCAAAAGGACAATCCTGCACATCAGCACTGTCCAGAGTATTATCTGCTGATTGCTAGGGCTACAGAATAACAAGGATTTTAAGAAGTGAAGGTTCTTAGAGCTCCATGTATTTCCAAAAACCTAGGCAAAACAAAACAAACTTGAACCTAGAGCTTCTCAGATCCTGTGCATGGCAACTCTCCCAGCGGGGAGAGTACTGATTGGAGCACCACTGGGTTAAAGACCAATTTCAGGGAATGCTGTTCAAGAGTCCAATTCTCCTCTCTGCCCTAGTGGAGACCTCTATCCTCTTTTTTTCCTTTTAATCATTTTTTAAACTGTGATTTTATTTTTTTAAATATTTCTTTATTTACTTACTTACTTATTTATTTTTTATGTGTGTACCGTCAAATCGGATCTGACTGGTACAGGAGGTGATTGTTCCTCCTTCTTCAGCAGAGCATCTGGTGGATTTGAACCGCACACCTCTGGGATTGCAGTGCAGTTTCCTGCCACTAGGCCACCAGAGCGTGCCTAAACTGTGATTTTAATGGAATTTTACAGAAAGGTTGGCTTTTCATTCATGCAGTGTTGCCCATTTTCATCCTTCCCCTCCCCGAGTCCACTTTGCAAAGCACCTCTTGTTTTAGATTGTTGTCATACACATAATCCCTAGTCATATATTCCTTTTGGACAGTTTTTTTTCTCTCATCTGTTCCAGTGCAGTGTTCATTATCTAGCCACTCCTTTCCTATCCTCCATCTGTCGCCTTGCTCGAGGCCCTGCCTGCTATAGTCCCCTAATTTCTCCGTCATCCATGACCCACAATCTCTGTACCACAGACATCTCTCTGTGGGTGAAAGGACAGAAAGGTAAAGAAGGAGGGAAAGCAGGAGAGATCAGTATGTCTGTGACAGGAGATAAGTAGGTGGAGAGACAGGTGGATGGTGGGTGGGTAGATGGGTGAATGTTCAACAGACGGTTAGATGGTTGGATGAGTGGGTGATAGGTGGGTAGGCGGACGGAGGCATGGAGAGGTACATGCCTAAATGTGTACCCACGCATGGATGGATGTAGGCAAGAACAGGTGGGAAAAACAGGTAGATGGGCAGATGGTTGTATGGGTTGGTAGTTGAAAAGATTTTTACAGATGGATGGGAGGGTGATAATCAGTAAGTAGCTTGTAAATCATAACTCTATGATGCTAATAAGGCAAGACCACAGAGAAATCTGTAAAGATGTGATTAACATCTGATTAAGGATAGATCTCCTCAGGGGGTATGGCCTCCATGATTTTTATGTTTGGAATATAACAGAAAAAAAGCTAGAAAGCTTTTTTGTCAGATCTACATCTGGCTATCTGGCTTGATGTCTTAACTGGACATAATTCAGTGGCCTGACATACTTGCTGATTTTAGATGCGTCCGGATCCAGAACCAGTCATCTGTGACCTGTCTCCCAATAACGACCTGAAGCTAGTAGGCAGCCATCTGCAGAGCAAGCCCTTTGTGATCTTTCTTCCCAACAACCACCTTGGGGCTTGTCCATCTCTGAAGCTGGCAATCTCCAAAGCCAGCAGCTTAAGACTCTGCCTGCTGGTGACAACTTGGACTCGGGCTCCCAGATGCTTCCATGGGAAGGTCTGACCTGCTTCCACAAGCATGTGAGTCATCTCTTTAAAATAAATAGATCCTATCCCCTCCTCCTTTTCTCTCTCTCTTTCATTGATTTTACTTCTTTAGAGAACCTAGCCTAAAACCATATAAGGTTACCACATATTCTACATGTTTCCTTAGATATCAAGCCCTCGAGAACGAAAAGAACATTAACTCAATGCTTTCATCCAGGCACTGGCTGATGACCACTGAAAGCCAGAAATGCTGTGGACAGCAGCAGAGTTATATTCATTCTCTGACCTCCACAAGCTGAGAGCCATGCTGTGTGATCAATACCCTGAACAGAGAGGCCTATACAGAGAAAACATTTACCCCCATAGTAGTCCAGACTCACACCATTTTCTCCCTATGCTTGGAGAAAATGAACCACAACCCTGAGGACTTGCAGAGCATCCCTCACACCCTACATCTGGGGGCCTGGCTGGTCTGCAGGCAGGAGCACTTTCTCCCCTATACCCCAGTGTGCACAGAATAAACATGCTCAGAATTGGGCACAGCCCAGTTCTGGTGCGTCTGACAATCAGAAGATTTAAAGACAGCCACTCAAGAAGAGGAAGTGGGCCTTCAACTTAGGCTGCAGAGCCTCCCTGAAGGGGAAGTGGGTGGAGAAAGGGAAAAAATTTTCAATGTTTGGTTTTTCAGTTTATGTTAAACAAAAAATAAGTATCCTCTGACCTCCCTTCTCAAGTAGCCTTGGCACAAAGAGAAGCCCAGAAAGATAATTAAGAATTTTCTCAAAGGAGCTGCATTGTGCGAAACACCTAGCCTCCGGTTCATGATCTGGGAAACATTTCAGGTCTCATGCAGGAAAATAAGTGTAGGCCAAGACTGTGTCCAAATCAGTTAGAAAAACACGGGCTCATGAAATTTGTATCTTTTTTTTATTTCATTATTTTTTGTGTGTACCGTCGAATCAGATCTGACTGGTACAGGAGGACATTGTTCCTCCTTCTCCAGCAGAGCATCTGGTGGATTAGAACTGTGCACCTCTGAACTTGCAGTTGCAGCTGCTTGCCACTAGGCCACCAGAGCTCGCCGAAATTTGTATCTTGATGGTGGTGGTGATCAAAGCAAGAAATTTGTCCAAATGCACCAATTCTACACTTAAAATGGGTGCATTTAATTGTGTGCCAATTATTACTTCAGTATGGTGGGTTTTAAAACTAGTAAAGTGGAAACAACCCTAATGTCCACCAATAAATGAATGGACAAACAAAACATGGTCCATTCACTCAGTGGGATTTACTCATAAAGAGAAATGAAGTCTGCTGCTGACAAATCTATTTCAATTCACCAGGACCCGTGGATCAGAACAAGCTCCCGGAATGTCCTTGGTGCTAATCTTTTACGGAAGCCAATCGCCGATCATAGAACTGCTGGCAGGTTCAAACAACCAGCTTTTCTGTTAGAAGCCCTGTTGTTGGAGTTATGCATGGACATGAGACAGGTATGGCACATCCCATTTTAAAGGAAACAGGACAGACAAACTTATGGAGACAAGTCTCCTAATGGTTACCACCAGACAGAGAAGAGTGACAAACAGGGCTGCTATTTGAGGGGCGCTCAGCTTCTGCTCGGAGTGATGAAAAAATGTTGAAAATGGGCAGTGGTAATGGTTGTAAGCACAGTGAATGTAATCAGTGTCACTGAGCTACAGGTTTAAAGACACAGAAAATGACAAATTGTTAAATATACTGATCACAATTTTTTTTTTTACTTTTTAAATTTTAAGTTTTTATTTACAGTAGAAAATCTCTTGCAGAGCTATGAGGCATTTCTCTTCAACATTGAATGTTCAGAAAGGGATTTGTTTTGATTGGAGAAGAGGCACGAAAAGTGCTATTAAAGCTGAAAGGTTACCCCATTGCATAGCCCATGACGACGGCTGGATGGCACCTAACAATTGTTGCCAGTTCTCAGGAGTGAGTACCTTGCTGGGGAATACATAGGTAACATTTGCCTTTTTAGCACTTCAGCTACAATTCAGTGACAATTACGTTCATCTTGTTACATGCCATTTAGTCAACTATGACTCCTAGCGACTCTCTGCCCAGTGCAGTCCTCAGACTCGGACATCCCGAGCCACAATCTCCAGTGTACTCAACGCCCATTGTGACAGTCACCATGTCAGTGCCATCTTTCCGCTCTTCCTTTATTGTCCCTCTACCTTTCCAAGCATGACGTCCTTCAAGGACTGTTTCTATGTACCATGGAGTTGGATCCAACTCCTTGCTGACCCTCCAGTGGGTTTTGTAGAGGAAACAAATTGTAAGGGAGGAAATTGCTCATCTTCACGGAGCAACTGGTGGATTCAAGTCTCATGCTTTCAGATGGGTAGTTAAGGTCCTTACCACTAGGCCACCAGACATAGCAGATAAGAAAAAAAAAAAAATAGCAGATAAGCAGTAACATACTTGCTGGAAAAAAGTAACCCCCAAAACACAGGCGAGTTCCAGTGATGGACCTTCCTCCACATAATGCCTGGAGGGGCTGGTCTTCTGGGTCTGAGGACCTGGGACTTCATCAGGAACAGTTCAGTCAGTAGCACAAGATAGCCTGGACTTTGAGCAGTATTTAGACTCTTAAAAGCCTTCAAGTAGTCATCTAAAATGCAACTATTGTCTCTATGCATCTGGATCAAAAGAAGGAAACCAAAGACTCAAAAAAGAAATACCATGACAGGACTACTTGTCTGCCTGAATCAGAATCACAGCCGTCCCTAAGACCAAGAACCAGACATGAGTTGAGTATGGGATGTGGCAACCAGCAGCACAATAAATGGTCCCAATAGAACAGGAGCAAAATTACAACAAAGCTAAAAGTTCTTTTTTAAAAAAAGCCTGACTCTTTGGACTGGGAGATACTGTAGTGAGTGCTAAGGGAGACTGTCACCCTGGAACACCCTTTAATCTTAGAAATCATGCCACTCCTACAGTCACCTACCACCCAAAAGACAGTCACTCATAAAGTAAGTCACACTACCACTAAACACTGTATCCCTGTAATCACTGAAGGGAGACCACCTGACTGGACTCTGCTCCCTTCCCCACCTGCCCTGGAGTGGGTCTTTGGGAGCATTGCTCATGTCACACTGACTGAGGGTACACTGGCTGCCTCAGGGCCATATGGATGGAAAATGTCACGCTTTGGCCTTGAAATTCAGCTCTAAGAATGCTTGTTATTTTCTACTGAAAATTCCCGTTCCCAATTAAGTCAGACTTCATAACTTAAAATTTAGTTAAATTTCCATAGCAGGATGCAAAAAATAAAGAAAGGAAGCTGGCCTAGAAGAGTCCCTGAAGTATCATGTAGAGAGCTGACTTCCTATTACAAACGTGTATGCACATACGCACAACGCACTCTCACGCATGCACACATGTGCAGATGCACGCACACACGTGTACAGATGCACGCATGCACACAAATACACACCCTGCAGGAATAAAGCCAGGCCTGAGGGCGCTGAGGCCAGGCACCTCCCAGGCAGCCCCACTGTCCTGTCTGTGCTCTCTCTCCAGCAGCTGGCATTTTCCTCACTTTGGGATATTTGTAACCATTTCTCCACTCTCCTGTTTCCTTGTCTCCCTGCTCTCACTAGAAATGAATTCCTGCAGACACAGGCTGTCACCTCAAGACCTCATCCTAGGGCCATGTCACCAGAGGCTTCTGCAAGTCCCCATGTATGTCAGAAAGAACAGATGAAGTCTCAAACAGGAAGTTACCCTAGAGATGCCTGCTGGACCCCACCATCCGAAGGCGTGGTGGTATCACCCAGAAGGAGCCCTCCGCTGCTACACAGAAGGTGAGCCGTTCAGACCCACCCACAGGAAGCACGCTTTGACAGCCTATAGGGCGTTCCACTTTGTCTCCCAGGGTCGCCAAGAGTCAACCAGGGCTGGATGGGACCCCGCACCCCTCAAACTGAGAAGGGTCAAATGCGGTCTTCAGGAAGTAGCTGCCCACTGCCCCTCCTGGACTCACTTTGGGGGCCCTGGGCAGTGTCCCTCACTCACCAGAAGAGAATCCGTAAGATATTGGCCACCAGCAGCACGAGACACACGTAGGTGGAGAAGCCGTCGGCGTTCTGGGTCCTGCGGATATCCCGGTACTGCGGGATGTAGGGCACCACGCCGCCGAAGACCATAGCGCCGGCCGCGCCCCAAGACACCAGCTGGTGCAGCGGGGCCAGCAGCCAGTCCAGGCCGAGCGCCTCCATCCCGCACGCGGACCCCGCTGCGCGCGCCGCGCACCTGACCAAGCCCCGGGGGCACTCCGGGGGCGGACGCCGCTCGCTACGCCCTCACCGCCCGCGATCGCCGCCGCGGGGCCTGCAGGGAGCAGTGCGGACCTGAGGACTCTGGTCTCGCTTGGGTGGGCCTGCCGGCACCGGCTCGCGCTCGCGCAGGGCAGGCTCTCCAGGCCCCCACCCCGAGTCCCGCCAGGCGCCGGGGCGCAGGAGCACTCCGCACAAGACACGTGAGCTCGGACAGAGAGGCCCGGGGTTCAGACCCAGGGTCCAGACAGGGACGCTCCCGGGGACCCCGCCCTGCACTGCCTGCTGGCGCTCCGCTTGCCGGGACCCTGGTAAGGCGTGCACCCTCACCTGCCGGCTCCTCCGAGTCAGTCTGTCCGTCTGTCGGTTGGCACTTGGTTCGGCCGCGCCGGTGGAGCCCCGCCTCACATGACGTCACAATATCCCGAGCCCTGCCCACTTCTGAGAGGGAGACGGGAGCTTCTGGGTCCTAGCGCGCAAACAACGGCAGGCCGCCACCTGGCCCCGCCACCGGCCCCTCGCTGGCTTAGGGTGAAACCTGGACCAAGAATCCACATGGAGCTCTCAGGTGTCCCGGACGGGCCGTCTAGACCAGGCTCGCAGCCCGCAGCCACGTGAAGCCAAGACCCGGCTCGGAGCTGAGGTTCGTCCCGCGGTCAACGCCTGAGCCCGGGCTGTCCTGAGCGCTGAGCCCCGCGCGCGCTGCCTCCGGAGGACGTGGGCTGAGGAGGGTCCTGCAGGGACAAAGCCCCAGCTGTGCCGAGTGGGCCAAGGAGGAGGTCCTCACGCAGGACCGCGAGCGCCGGGCGGTCAGCGTCGCACACGTGTCTGCGCCCGGCCCCCAGGGATGGGTTCCCGGTGACCGCTGCGCTTTTCCTGATAAACCAGATAGAGATCTGAGAAACAGGGTCTTCTCTGCTGGACCGTGCTGTTGGGCTGGGAGAGAAGTGAGCCTCAGGTACAAGCGAGATTAGCAAACGCGCGCAAGGAAGAGGGCTTGCCTCTTTCACCGTGCCTGCTGGGCACCATCTTCTCGCACAGGATCTGAACTTCGTCAGGAGAGACGCGTGGGACTGACGCGAGTGGGGGCTGACTGGGGACCAAGAATCCACTCCTTGATTGGCTGTGTCCAGTTCTGAAGCAGTCACCCAAGGAGCAAAGGCCGCGTGGAAAAGTGTCGTTACAAAAACGCCTTTGCGGCCAGCCCTGCGATGAAGAGAACATCCACCGACACCTCCTAGCATATCGCTTCAGGCCAGACTCTGGGTCACATTCCCTCCTGTCCTGAGTGTTGTTGTTGTTGTTGTTGTTGTTGTTGTTATGTGCCTTCGAGTGGCTTGCGACTCTTAGCGACCCTATGTACAACAGTCCTAAACTCCGCTCTGTCCTGTGCCAATCGCACTGTCTCTGACATTCCTATTCCAATTATCCCAGTCACCGAACCAATCCACCTCATAGAGGGCCTTCCTCTTCTGCGCCGTCCCTCCACC